CTTAATGTGTTTATTAATATATCGTGTGACATACCCACAGATGTAATATAACACACATGATTCAGTATCTGATTTATAGTAGTCATGATCACTAAAAATATCAGCTTGAAATACATTGTCTACTTCTAGGTCTTGAGCAATTAATGTATCTAACCTTTTCTTCAAATGATCAATTTTTAATTGTCTTTCGGATGTGTCATTTTTACAAAAAACATCTTTTATATCCTTTATACTTAATTTCGGTGTTGTTGAATCCAATATTGTGCAATTACCACTCTTAGGAGGCTTTATTATGGAATATTCTGAAAGCAACTTGTATACCTGTAAGAATGTTGGACAATTGGGGTGATCATTCGGACCAGTTGCCTGTCTTGACATACCAAAAAATTGCTGTTGATGTAAGAAAAAAAATATTATTAGAATATATTAAGTTATCTATGAAAGTTTTTATTGAAATTTTGTTAAAATTAGGATCATTTTAACGACTTTCGTTTATTTTACCTCTAGACGATCCTGGTTCATTTTTGAAGTTAGGACATATTTAAATCCGCATTCTTCCAAAAGATGCTTGGATAACTCTATTACTGATTTCACGGTAACACGCAGACCTTCAGCAGTCGATTTTGATAAAAATTCTTCTTCAGTAATAGAATGATTAAGTACATGGTCTTCCCATAAATCAAGCCATACTAATGTATTTTCTAATACCTAATTATAAATAATAAATTGATCAAAATAGTTATTTTTTATTTATAAAAATATGTATACTGGTAGCATTTTGGTACTAATTATATCATTTTACTTACATAAAAATCATGACTTTTATGTTTGATACCCTCGGCTGGATGCCTTCGGTTTAATGCATCAAACAGTCTGTTTATTCGTTCTGTGAATATTTGTGTAGGTTCACTGTTTTCTAAAGATTTGATTTTTGCATGACAACGGTAACTACTATCGAATTACTAAAAATCTGTAAAATTATTAAAGAACAATCATATTATTATTTATTAGCTAAAATTTATAAAAAAAATATATTACCTGGGTAGCTAATTTGACATTCATCTTACTAAAACTGTCAGGTGCCAAATGTCTGTGTGTTATTTTTGGACACACTCTTAATGGTGCAATACAATCTCTTTCTAAATCATTTTTATGTACCTCCACATAGTGCGACCATCTAATATAATTAGAATCTGGTGATTCCTGTAAAATAATACATTTGGATAACAAATTAAATAGTAAAATAACATTTTCATATTTACTCTTAATCCTTTTTTATTGAACAATCTATTCCGGATATTTTTTATAAGGTGAGGTGCGTCCGAGATCATAAAAATTTTTCTCTTATTATTTAAAGGATATTCAAATGAATTTGTTACATTTCCTTTTTCACTAGTCACACCTAATTCTGATCAGAGCTTACGATTTGTTGTTGCTCCATCAGAGACAACTCCATTTACTATTACTCCAGATTTTTCCAGTAAACAAATTGCTTTTATTACTAGTTGTGCCAAAACTAAACCTGATATAATTTAAATAATATTTTGTATATTATATATGATACAATTTTAGTCGTTTTTATAAATTATAAAAACTTACCAAAAATTGCATTTACAATGAAAACATCACATAAATACCACAGGCATAATTATAGTTTGTAATAATTTAAATTAACACCTAATAGTTACTCATAATGGTTATTGGTAATACTAAATATATACTTATCTAATTTATAACTTCCAAGACATAAACTTGCATTTTCCAAAACAAACAATGATCATAAAACATAAATCATGCAACATAAAATAATTGAATACACAAATTATGAAGGTTAAAAACAAAAATAGGTAACTACTGAATGTCTGAATGTTAGATATATAAGATTTTAATTGACAGGTATTTATACATGTTACCTTTAACAGGACCGTTTGAAGCAAAAACTGCAATTGGTTAAGTGAAGTTTGCTCCAAGACTTTGAAAAAGAAAAACTAAACCATGGTTGGCTTTTAACCCCGAACTTTTAATTTCCCCACCAAAATTCTCTAAGCCAGAATATGTTAGGGTTTGGGAATTCACTTGCAAACTTTCACGCAGGAATATCTCATCAAAAACTAACATACCATGCTTTTGTTCTTTACTTAACAAGGATACTTTATTTTTGAATAATAAAAAAATGTTTTCATCAAATCCGCATTGTGTATTAATGAGAGACAAATACTTTCTTCTAGTGCGTGCACACGGTAAAGGCAGTATTTCTTGTTCCTTTAAAAATGAATAAGTGGAAGATGATCTATGGATAAATTAAAAATTAAAATTTGTCAAAAGTAATTGGATTTCATATTATACTTGTGTTTTAAAAATATTAATAAAAATTATAATACCTACCTTATTTTTAGTAAAATGCATAACATAATCCAGTCTTCCGAATATCTCCTATTGTTTGGTTTTAATGCTTTGCTTGTATTAATTATTTCTTGGATTATAGATTTTTGTGGATTATTTAAGTTATTTGATGTAAATAGAGTATTCAATGCACTGTCTGTTAAAGTTGCAGTTTTATTTTGAATATCAGCTAATACTGAATTCAACTTACTAATGCTTAATTTAAGCCTAGAAATAGGGTTGGGTTAAGAGTTATATATTTACACTTAATTGTAAAATAAATTTACTTTGAATTTGATTTTTGGAGATTTTTCTTTTTACTTAATATATTATTGAATACACGACGACGAATGGGAGTAAGTGTAACACCAATTCGTTTTGAAGTTTTCAACAATACATTTTTCTGGTATTTTTTAAATATTGGAAATAAATAGTCACATTTTAGGCATCTTTTTGTTTTTGATAAAAAAAGAGCATTTCTTATGACGCCATAATCCATTATTAAGTTCGGCTGTTCCAATAGATACTCCTAAATAAACAAAATTTCAGTCAAAGCCAAATAGTATGTATCAAAATTTAAAAATTAAATATTTAATGTTCTAATAAAATAGAAAACATAATAATATAGAACAATGCATTTATTACCGGGAAAATGTATTTCCATAGGTCCACCTTAGCACACTTGTTTGTAATTAAATGAACTAATTACTTCAGATATATTTGAAATATTTATAGAATTAGACGGCTGAATCAAGCCTACGATTGCAGGCTCTATTATTTCATTATTTACAAAACAAATTATATTTTTGTCATCAGTGACAACTAATTGTTTTTCAATGACAATATGATTCATTTTAAATACAGCATTATAGAAGACTACCGTTTTTTCATTTCTAAAAGTGGACCACCCAAGTGGTAAACTTATTGAGTTAACCAATTCATTAAGAAACACTGGTTTCTGTAAATAAAATTGCATCAAGTCAGTAATGAAAAAATAATGCATATAAACAATTTAATTAATCAAGGTTATTAAGTTTATTAAGGTCTTATTTACTTTTTATTAAAATAATTATTACCTGTAAATCCACTAAGCAAATTTGTTTATAAGATGTATCTGTTACTGTAGGATAAATACAATCAATATTTCTTTTCAAAGTTACTGTGGAAGCCTTAAAATATAAAAATTAATTTCATGTATGATATTAATATATAGGTAGTAAAAATAAAATAAAACTATTCAAATCTTAATATCACTTTTACAGGAAAAAGTTCTTTTCTAAATGACTCAGCTGTCAGTGAGGTTTGAAAGATATTTTTTTGTTTGATTGCAGATGGAGTACCTAGTTATTTTATTCAATTCATACAATTCTCTTGTATCATATGCCTTAAAAAAAAAAAAAAAAAAACATTAAGTAGGTACTCACATTCCTATTAGGCACCTAATTAAAACTACATAAATTATTTCACTTTATTTTAGTGAAAACCAGAGGGTATAATAATTATCTACTATATCACCAACAAGCTTAGTGCTTATATTTTATAATTTACATTCGGCATAATTACTTCAGATGGATGAATTGGTGATTCACAAGCTGACTCTGCTGTTGATAAAGGTTGAGAGATATTTGTTTGATCAAATACAAATAGAATAGATCCTTTTTTCAATTTGAACAATGTTCTTTTATGATATCCCTTTAAAAAAAAAACTTAAAGTGCTGACATTTTATTAGGTGTTTGAATCATGTATAAAAATTAAATTTATATAAATTATTTCCCCCTATTTGAATAAAAACAAGATGGGGATTGGGTATATCCACTATATCACTCACTAGCTTCGTGCTTATATATTATAATTTACCTCCGGCATAACTACATCAGATGGTGTTTGTGAATAGTTAGTAATGACATCATCAGGTGCAAAGTGTTTAGAACAAATGTAGTTTAATGGTTGTAATTGATTGTTTACTGTATTATGTACTGCTGATTCCTAAGCTTCTTTGTTACTTTCGTATACTTTGAATAATGTAACATTTGTCTGATCTTCACGACTTTCACATTCATTAATTGAACATTTACGTACTTTACGTCTTGGTGCCATTTTGCAACTTTTAAAGTATGAATAGAAAAATTAAATTTTGATGTAAAAAGGTATGTAATAATTAAACAAAATCAGTAATCAAGGACTAAGATAGTACTATACTACTACGTACTAAAACCAAGTCAAATATTGTGATGAATAATAAACACGTAAATAAATAATAATTACAATAATATACATTGGAGGGAAAATTCAAAAAGTAGACATTTATGGTTCTCTTTTATAAACATAGATAGAGTGCGAATCGTACTTGCCCCATTTCACCCCGCACAAGCCTACTTCTAACTTTAAGCGGTCTTGTGATTTGGCGTTCGTTTCCAGTCCATACTATCTTAGTCCGTGGTATAACTAACCATATCATCGATATGGTTCAGAAAAATGAAACCGCTTTCATAAAATATCGGGTGGGGCGAATCAAACAGTGCAGTTTTGAAAGGTTGGTACTTCACGTGTGGTGGGGATAGTACGATTATGGTGGTTTCATTTCGTCGGGCAGGCCATGCCGTTATTAGTCATTACCATGGTTTGGTCTGGTGAACAACGTGGCTTTGCCGTCCGTACGTTTTTTGAAAATGGCCGATCGTTCGTCGCAACTCAGCGAGCGTTCCGGCTGCAGTTTAACCTTGCGCGTCATGATACCGTCCCTCACCGTAATGTTATCGCGAATTGGGTGCGTACATTTGAAGAAACTGGATCTACACTAAGACTTAGAGGTTCAGGAAGACCCAAAACGGTAAGAACACCTGAAAATTTGATAAGAGTGAGTGAAGCTATTGTGCAGTCGCTATTTTGCACCAAGACTTATTCTTCCACCCCTACAAAATTATGATTGTCCAAGAGTTGAGTCCACCCGACTATGAAAATCGCATGAATTGCTCACAAGAAATGTTGAACCGGATCCATGTGAGGTCAACATTTTTCAGTAGTGACGAGGCTCACTTTCATCTCAGTGGGGCGGTGAATAAGCAAAATTTTCGCTATTGGGCAGAAAATAATCCACGGCAAATTCACGAGAGACCTCTTCACTCTCCAAAAGTGACCGTGTGGTGTGCGATTTCAAAATTTGGGGTGATTGGGCCTTATTTTTTTGAGGAGAATGGACAAACCGTAACTGTCAACGCTGAACGTTACGTTTCCATGTTGGACAATTTTTTTGAACCTCAATTGGAAGAGTTAATGGAAGAAACAAATATGGGGGACATCTGGTTCCAACAGGACGGGGCTACAGCACATACTGCTCGAGTTTCAATGACGAAGCTGCGACAGATGTTCCCTACACATCTCGTCTCTCTGAGGGGTGATTTGAGGTGGCCTGCGCGCTCACCAGACTTGAGCATTTGTGATTTTTTCTTGTGGGGCTACCTGAAGGAAAAGATTTTTAAACATCGGCCTCACACGTTGGAAGAACTCAAAGACCGAATTAGGGAGGAAATTGGCGCTATACCAGTCGAAATGTGTCAAAATGCGGCAGAAAATTTCAGAAATCGCCTTCATCAGTGTATCGCTGCTGGCGGCCATCATCTTTCTGATGTCATTTTTAAAACTTGATATATAAAACGGCATGATGTACTGAAAAAAATTAAATAAATATAATTTCTGTAAGTTGCGTAGTTTTTTTTTAATAGCCTTTCAAAACTGCACTGCCTGTTTCGCCCCACCTTGTAGTTCCACCGGTTTGTAGAACGAATTTGTTAAATTCACACCGGTTTCAATTTTAAGGGGAAATATACACCGGTTTGGGCAAACGAATTTCTTGCTTTACTCCTGTCGTATATTGTAGACAGTCGTCAAGATATTATTATTTAATATATATGTAATAGAGGTGGGAACATTTTAAATTGTAAACTATTGACATAGGTCAGTGAAGCAATATGTGCTGAGGCAGCAAAATGGATTTTACTATATAAAACCGCCGTACGTGCAGGCACGGGGGGCCCCGTTGTCGCTGAGTGAATCGGCGAGGACGTAGGTACTGTGGTCGTACGTGTGAAACGTCGATCGTAGTACGGGCTAGACGATTTGAATTTGCTAAGTGTTTCATTTATGTTTGTTTTAATATAATAAAAGTGTTTCCGACCTAAAAACCCGAGTTGAGTTTTATTTCAAAGTCTTCTTCGTTCTTACCTTTAATATTGGAACAGTGCTCAGACCCACACACCTATAGTCAATGAGGTTTATTACAAACTGAACAGTGCTCTGGTTGTGGCGTCCTAATAGTCATTCCAATTTAGGAAACGAACGAAGAACTGACAAAACGCTACCATCGTACCTCAAAGGTTAACAGTGCTAATCTGAATTTATTCTAGAGACAGTCATTAGCCTAGAGCGTACGAGGGTAAGGTATAAAGTTGGTTTACCGCGTATTATCCAATACGGGTGATACCACACTCCAGTTAAATATGCCGCCAGGTTCGCTGCCAACCCTATAGAGGATAATACATTTTAGTATTTGTATGTGATTTAAATGTAATTTAATTTAAATTGTTAAAGTTTTCAACTTTTTTTGTAAAAATGCGTTATAATATGGTATAACTATAATGTATAAGTTATGATATATTTAATAATACATATTAATATATAATACAGTAATGTAAAATAGTTATTTTTGTATTCATAAATTATATTATAATATAATTAAGATGTGTCCAAATTTTTTGGCTTAAAAAATTTGACATATTGATGTAACTACTCGTTATTACATGAAGGATATAGCATTTAAAGAGATACATCTATATGAGGGTACATACCTATTAAATCATTTTTCCACAAAAAGCAACACATATCCTGAATAGTTTTAGGAGCATTGTCACGAAATATTTAAAATGATATCAATTAAAATGTATAATAATTTGAAGCATTCCGCCGACAATTATTATAAAGGTCCTTAAAAAACTCTTTAATTATATTCAATATTCAAATGTTCCGCAATAACGGTTGGGTTTAAATGGCTTCCCTGTCATTTATCAATGTACCATCATCTGTATTATGTATGCTGCAGAACGTAGCGGTACCTATGTTATCTTAACAAAAGATATGTTATTCAATTAAAGACTGATTACGGAGAATTTCTGTATGATTATTTAAAAATAAAAATACAGATGGAATTCGGTTGCAATTATTTTAATTTTTTTTTGTCACACGATTGTCGGCTTAAAAAATAAATAAAATAAACCTTGTTTCTTAGCTGAAAATCTACTGATTGCGAATCGTTATTTATACGACGGTCCGAAATTTGTTCTGACTCCGTCGTCTCCATTCGTTATTCTAATAAAAATAACTGTTATTAGTTGAAAATTTTGAATTTTCCCGTAGAAATTACATATTATAATAAACTATTTAGGTTATTGATTGGTGTAATAATTAGGGCTAGGATTTATGGGCAATAACAAATTATAAAATATACATTTTATTTACCAAAATATGCAAAAAAAAAACTATGAAAAATTACGACTTCGGACTTGGTACAATTTGTAAGAAATATATTTGCAAACGTCAAATTCATATACCTAATATATTCTATGTAAATAAAAAAACTACATTACTTATTATACGTACAATTACAAAAGGTAGACCTTAAACCAGGGCTTAAATCCAAAAAAATAATACCGTTTACCGTTATATGGATATCAAACGTTATGACCAAATTACTGTTTAACGTTATATGATATTAAACGTTATGATCAATTTAGCGTTTAACGTTATATGTTATTAAACGTTATGATCGATTTAGCGTTAAACGTTATATGATATCAAACGTTATGATCGATTTATCGTTTAACGTTATAAAGAATTTAAACGTTTATAAAATGTTCCGTTTAACGTTTAAACGTTTTAAACGTTTTAAATATTAATTATTTATAAATACATTACTAAGAAATGTAGAACCCGTTGAACGGGTTTAATACTATTTACCCAGACATTATTTATAAATATTTTCCACTTTTGTAAGAAAGCCTAAATATAATATTGATAATGCGTATTATTTCTCTGAAATATTTATGGCTATTTTAAACTTTCATAGTTCCATATTGTACATTTAATTAATTTTGATTAGTACCTAATATTAAAGTCACTTTATTATTATAGTCCTATCAAGCAACAGTTCTACAAGGGAGATTGTAAACTCGGCCCGAGGAAAAAACATTTCCAAAAGGTCGATGGTAAACTCGGCCCGGGTTTTTTTCAGGTCAAAATTATTTAGATGTAAACTCGGCCCCGATTTTTTTCAGGTAAAAATGATTTAGGTGTAAAAACCATCATTTTTCTTATAATATTTTTGAGCAACATTTAGCATTACCCGGAGGACACCACGAAGAGGCGGTTCTCATTATCCTTCAAAAATTATTTTCATTTTCATATTATTATTCATATAGTATGAAATTCGTTATTTAAATGAAAAATGTTTTAATATTGATAATAAAATAATAATAAATGTAATTATATAAATTTATAAGTGTAAAAATGTGTATAAATACAATAAAAAATATATAAGTAAAATTGTAGTGTAAATAATGAGTGAAAAATGTTAGTATAATAATAATATATAAATCTAGTTTTTTAAGTAAAAAGCCATGTATTTTACATATTCACTCACTGATATTTCTTTATTTTTATATTTTGTAAGTGTTCTTTCTAAGAGTTCTTTTTTTTTTTTTAGTTTTTATATTTTGGAATTTAAATGGTCCATCTAGGCTGTTGATTTTAATGTACGTTTCTGTTTGTACTTCTTTTAATTTTGAAATGACGGAATATATATTGGGGTGAGTGGAATTAAAACTTGAATTAAAATGCGCATGAAATGATCACATGCATTTGTTATTAAATACGTTTCAACTGATGCACTGGCCCACATTTCAGGCGGAAACATAGAATCTGACACCTGACATTTTTGGGCCGAGTTTACAATCGATTTATTTTACCACCTGAAATTTCCAGGCCGAGATTACAATCTACCTATTTATATTACCTAAAATTGTCGGGCCGAGCTTACAACAAAAAAGGTAACTCTTGGCCCAGTTTACATTTGCCCTTCTACAAAACTAACTAAATTCTAATTATATTCTATAATTTCTATAGATAGTTTTTAATATTTTCGTAATTTCCTTTGTTGTCTGACATGTTTGTTAAGATTCAACTTTTAATCGTTAATCGTTTTTTGTTGCGTTATTTGAAATTAATTTTAATCGTTTATCGTTATTGTTCCGTTATCCGTTTCAATCGTTTATCGTTACTGTTCCGTTATCCGTTATCCATTTCAATCGTTTATCGTTTACCGATATGTTATCCGTTATTCGTTTCAATCGTTTGTCGTTTACCGATATGTTATCCGTTATCGATTTCAATCGTTTTTGGAATCGTTTAACGTTATGAAAACGTTTTGAAGCCCTGCCTTAAACACCTTTTCAAAGCGTCAATATTCTTAATTTTGTAGTGTGTTTCATCATTATCTATATGAGTACTATTATTACTTATTTAGGCATTCATATTTAGTACAACACTATAGGTAAGTATTATTTAGAAGTAGTTTTTCATAAAATCATATCGAGAATTATGTGGCAATGATATGATATATTATAATTTTGAAAAATTCTTAAGAAAAACTATTGTCTCTACAGCTATAAAAGTTACGTTCCTAGACAATGGTTAGGCCCCTCCAAAAATTCTCCCGTAGTTGGGGTAGGTACCTTCGACTCCCCCCAAATATATTTTTGAAAAACCTTAGTGGTCGTTCGACGTGTCTGAAATTCAAGATTATTTTGGAGGATATAAGTATTTTGGAGGATTCTGATTAAAAGTGGTATCTTTTGTCGAGACCGCAAAAGCCGTTTTTTTCCCACTTTGGGGCTTCGGAATTCCGAAATTTGAGTTTTTTAGTTGAGTGTGACTCGGCCGGGTTTCGATGTAGGGGCATAGTTTCTTCACCAAAAGATTTGTTTTAAGTTATTTTACATAAAATCTTTCGGTGGTCGGAGGGTCCTATGCCCCCCCCCCCCCCCATCGATAATGTTAATTTTTTGTTCCACGTTTCTGAAATTCGCAGGTTCGTTTTTTTGTAGATCGCTGATCAAAATCGACGTTTTGTGTCGACACTGTAGGAGCCTTTTTTACTCCTCTTTTTGGCGTCTGAAATTAGGATTTTGCAGTTTTTGGACTTTGTCGCCACGGACCACTTAGACTTTAGGTGATTGGAGCATTTTTTTTCTACGCATCGTTTAGACATTTTTGTTAAAAATCGAACGGTACCAAAATCAAAGAAATCGGACGTTTTGTTGAGAACTTATGATTTTCTTTTTCTTTTTTGGTACTTAGATTTTACGTATTTTCCGAATTTTTTTAAATTGAGTTTTTGTTCAATCTTTTTGAAATTCGAGTGCTGACTTATAAATGCCATGACGAGTTATAAAAGTTCTATTGTAAAAATGCGTAGGATCATTATTTACCTCGTAATCGGGGTATGAAAATAGTTGAAAATCGAATCGTTTATTTTTTCGAATACGCATACGTTTCTTTATGGTACAGGTACCCCCGAATATCGATTTAACGAATTACCTTTTTGAACTTTTTACTCGTTTTAGGTTTGTTCACGTTTCAACGTTTGGAAATTACGCCATCAGCATAAAAAATAATTTATTTAGAAGTAATTTTTCATTTAATCACATCGATAATACATCTATATTTAATAGCACATTATACAGCACTGGAGCGGCACATACAGTGACGCAAGAAATAGGGAGATATAAACTTAAAATCGTGGCTATCCAAGAAATTAGATGGCAAGGAACGGGATCCTTGGACATTAATAATCATACCATTTTCTATGGGGACTGCGATGATCGACGACAATTTGGTATGGGTTTCATAGTTCATAAGTCAATGGTACCAAACGTAATGGAATTTAAGACATTTAACCCGAGAATATCACTATTAACAATTAAAGTATACTGGTTTAATCTCACAATTATTAGTGTTCATGCCCCTACTGAGGAAAAGACTCAAGAAGAAAAAGACGACTTCTATGATGAATTAACGAACGTAGTAGATGGGATACCTAATAACAAAATAGTGGTTATATTAGGAGACCTTAATGCAAAAATAGGAAAAGAATTAATATTTAAACCAACCATTGGCCACCATAGCTTGCATGAAGTATCTAACAATAATGGCCTCAACCTAATCGACTTTGCAACGAGCAAAGGCTTAGTGATCAAGAGCACAATGTTTCCCCATAAAAAGATCAATAAGGGAACATGGAAGTCACCAGATGGGAATCACACAAATCAAATTGACCATGTACTAGTCAATGACAGGTTCAAAAACAGTATTACGGATGTCAAAACGATGCGAGGAGCGGACTGTGACTCTGACCACTATTTGGTTAAGGTAAAAATTAAAGCAAGACTGAAGAGAAGGGTGGCAACAAGGCCAACGATAATAGACAGATATGATATAACTACGCTCAAATATGAAATTTTCTGTAAACGCTTTAAAAGTGAGATACACAAACGCAGCAGTGAATTAAATATAGATAGTATAGACTCAATAAATAATATGTGGAGGAGGATACAGGAGACAATAAAAGAAACATCAGCTGAAGTCCTGGGAAAACCAAAAAACACTAAAAAACCGTGGTTCAATGAGAGGTGTGAGAAAGCCCTAAATCAAAGGAAAAAATTTAGAAACTTGTACCTTAATGACCCTTCCCATGAAGAAAACAAAACAAAGTATAATGAAAGCAGAAAAGAAGCAAGTCGAACCTTTAAGTATGAAAAAAGAGTCTATACGAAAAACATTCTGGAAGAAGCAGAAAAATATCACAACGATTCATTAACACATATACATAAGTTACTAACCCACATTTGGGAGCAGGAAGTACTACCAGAAGGTTGGAATGTCGCTGTCGTATGTCCAATCCATAAAAAAGGTGATCCACAAATATGTAATAATTACAGAGGAATTGCCTTATTGAATGTGGTCTACAAGATATTGTCCTATTGCATTTTAGATAGGATTAAACCCATTGCGGAAGAGATACTGGGAGACTATCAAGGTGGTTTTAGACCCAACAGATCAACAACAGATCAAATCTTCAGCTTAAGACAGATCATAGAAAAATCATGGGAATTCAATAAAAGCATATGTATACTATTTGTAGATTTCAAAAAAGCATACGATTCTGTCCACCGACATAGTCTAATAAACATATTAAAAGAGTTTAAGTTCCCGAACAAACTAATAAAATTAATTGAGGCCACTCTGCAAAATACAGAAATCAAAATAAAGGTAGCATCGGAATTGTCAGAACCAGCAACGGTTAGGACAGGTCTAAGACAAGGAGATGCGCTATCACCAATATTGTTCAACCTAATATTAGAAAAGGTAATCAGAGCAACAAATTGTAACAATGGAATAGTATTGGGAAACTCGAACATAAATATCTTGGCTTATGCGGATGATATAGCGATATTAGGAGATACTGAAGAAACGATTAAACAAGTATGCAGGAAACTCATCACGATGGCTAGTAAGGTCGGACTGGAGATAAACGACGAAAAAACAGAGTACATGATTGTAAGTCGAAAAGACAGAGAATATCAACAAGGACAATCTATGAATGTAGAAGGGCATGTATTCAAAAGAGTCACACATTTCAAATACTTGGGGCACTTGATAACACAAGATAACGATCTGAAGATGGAAGTCAGTAGTAGGATACAAAAAGGCAGCAAAAGTTTTTTTGGTCTTGGAAAAGTACTGAGTTCAAGAACATTATCGACAAACCTGAAGATACAAATGTACATGACCCTGATACGACCCATAGTACTGTATGCCGCGGAAACATGGCCACTTAGGAAAGCAGAAGAAACCAGACTAAAAGTATTTGAAAGGAGAATCTTACGGAAAATCTACGGCCCATGCTTTGACACAAACACAAGTGAATGGCGTAAACGTCATAATAAAGAACTCGAAGAGCTGTTCCAGAGACCGAACATCGCGAATGAAATCAAGAAAAGAAGATTAAACTGGGCAGGACATGCATGGCAGAGAGTAGGATCCATAGTCAGAACAACAATCGAAGAGAACCCGGTCGGTAAGAGACCCTTAGGAAGACCACGCTTACGCTGGGTAGACTGTGTAAAAAGGGACGTGGAAAACATTGAACCAGAGATACCATGGAGAGTAGTTTCAGAAAATAGAGATAGATGGAGAGAAATTTGTTTGGCGGTTTGGTCTCAATGACCGAAAACCAAAAAAAAAAAAAAATCAGTAGTTAGATAATTTAACATTTATGTATAGCTATGTAAAAGGTATAAAATAAAAATAAAATTTAAAATACTTAGGTATATAGAAACGAAATATAAAAAAATGGAAGTAAATATAAATAGTGTTCAATTTTTATTTAATTAATACTGAAATTTATCATAAAATAAATTGTGTATAGTTGAAGAATTAAATTAATTGTTTTATTTTATATTAATGTAAACCGAAATAACTAAAATAATGATAATATTTTATAAATATTTGTAATAATATTATCCAAGATTTATAGAATTCGTACATTTAACTAGGTTCAAATGAGAATGATATAATAATAATAGTATAAAAAAACAAATACAAGTTATAATTGTAGGTACCTAACTCGGTACCTACTAACATAGACCTGTAAACAAGTCTATGTCTACTAAATATATTATTTTTTTTATGAGTTTCTTACTTGGTAAATTAGTTAGTTTTTATGTGTACTTATTTTTGATATTGTTAAAAAGTAAATCTATCAAACTTAATATTGTATGAATAATAAATCAAATGGAAGAATCCAGTTTTGAATCTAAGAAACTGTTTTATTAAATCTCTCCCTGGTCATTACAAAAAAATTAAAAATTAATTTTAAGTAATATATTTTTAACTTTAACCAAAAACATATTTTAATATACCTAGTGCATTAAAATGTATTAAGTTTTTATTAAAATAACCATATTTATCTGCCTAAATACAACCAAACCAAACCTTCTGGAAGGTTGGTATATAATGATCTAAATTACAAAAAAGTTATGGCGGCGTCGCGGAAGAATGCGAAAGCTGTCCCCTCGACGCCGTCGGTTCAAACAGAAAAAAAAAAAAAATCAAAAAAAAGTAACAAAACATTAATAATAATGATATAACATTAATATTGTCTTATAATCAACCTGTCAGTAAAATTAGGAATATTATAAATCAGTGTTATTCCATGGTAACTTATTTGTTGGTGAGGAAAAAAAATAAATGATGTTAATCGTAACTATCACTATGTAATTAAATTATACTTAAAAGCTGGCAACCAAAGATTTAATTTATATCTCAATACATTTACAAAAATGTTGTGGAATATAAAATTATAAAAAACAAATTGATTTACATACCTTTTAAACAATAGTTAATCACAGAACAGTAAAAATTTTTAATATTTTAATTCCAATTTGAAATTTGAATGATTCAGCCATTCGGTTGAATATTGAATAAACAAAATTATTCTTATCCACGGTTAAAGATAAATATATATATAATATATTGTATATATAAATCTTTAAGTTAAAGACTTTAACCACGGTCTTAGAAGATAAGGTCGGACAACTTCTCACCCTCCCGCCTATTACAATATATCCGCTTAATGAGGCAAAAACATTTCCCAAGTTGCCGCAAAAGCGCTGCCGGGTAGACGTATTTTGAGGTTAGGAAATTAAGGAACCGGTGTTTACCGATCGGCCCGCCTAACAATTGAGATAAGTTTATACTTTATTATATATAATATTATTATATAATAGTATTGTTTATTTGTGTTATATCGATTTATAATAATCGATAATTCTAACATAGTTTGATACAAACAATACAAACTACGTAATGTTGTCTATTGTCTATTTGTCTAGTGGCAACTATAAACCTTTTCTATAGATGTTCGATTTATGTTTTTAATTTCTATTAATTTAGTTAGTATTATATTTTGAAAATGAGAAATAAAATTTGTTACTTTCATTGTAACACCTCTGAGAAACTCTCAGTTTTTAATATCCCTAAAGATAAACATTTAAAGGAGAAATGGTTACAATCTTTAGGGATAGATTATTTTAGCCCTACCGAGGTTATTTGTGAAAAACATTTTCGGGATGACCTAATAATTAGAACGAAGGATATTGTTGACGGATTAGGAAATGTTATTTGTTCAGTAAGTACCTATATTTGACGTGCAGGTCTGGATAGACACTTAGGAAGTGGATAATGCCTGTGGGCTCTCGTCTATGGTTATGCCCACAGTCTTAGACGACGATATCTCCTAAGACTGTGGTTATGTCAATGGCATCTACCAGTAATTTTTTTGTACTTGTATTATTTTTGTTACCTGTGACTAAATCACCATTTAGTTATAATTAAAAATGCAAAAGTATAAAAACAATTTGAGACTTGAGTACCTGTAGATTTAAATGTCTAGTGGATTGATATAATTATAATGTGTACGCTTAGCATTTTTAAAAAAACGAATGGGTACCCTAACCACAGAATAGATTTAATCTATGCTGTGATCTAATCCCATGAGACTCCCACCAATCCAAGCACTAATAATATATAAATAAATATTATTAACTTGGTATGAAACTGTATATGGTATATAATATTATGGGGTATACATGTATAATACCACCTAAAGTCTAAACGTCTAGTTGCATTTTGCTCTGGTTTAGCAAGTTAGACAGTACATAAAAAATTAACAATTCTGTATTGATAGTATTTTGGATTTATATTAATCATTTATTTTAAAAATTATAGTAATACTTATTTCTTTACATAAAATGTGAATTTTGTTAGTATTTTATACTTCTTATTGCAATTATAACCACTGCAAGTTATATATTTATATTTAGGCTCCACGATTAAGACCTAGTTTGAAGTCAAATGCAATACCACATTTATTATCATCCCGAAAAAGATTAAAATTTGATGGTAATCATGAAAACTGTCAAGTAAATTTTCTATGAATCTGCTATTTTTTTTATACTTTTTCCAATTTCTAACCTTATCTGTATCAATTGTAGATTGATGAATTAACTAGTACACAGTGTACTTCTACTACAAAAGAAACTGTTTTTTCTGATGTTGAAGTGAGTTTGGTAATTATTTATTTACAAACAAACATTAAATTAATTTGTATAGGAACTCGCCAAAGAAAAAAATATTAATGATGAAAACGAATTAGTTAATGACATGGAAGTTGTAGAAAATATGGTTGATCATGATTATGTGATCAACACTTCTAGTGTTACAAATATTTTGGATTTTAATGTTTTTTCAAACAATGAGGAAGTAAGTAAAATAATTAATAACAATATAATATATAATCACAAAACTCAAAAACATAAATATATTTTTCAATAAAAAGAACAATTTTGTTGCTCATTTACAATATATAACATGACTGTTTTGATATGTTAATAGATTGTTTATAACACAATACAACTTTGGGAGTTAACGTTGCCTCCAAATTGGCATAAATATTTGTCTAATGATAAAACCGTAGTAGGAATTTCGGAAATAATTTTTATAAAAAATGGAGAAAACATAAATTCATTTTTACGTAAAAATATAATTATTGAAAAGGATTTGAAAATAACATGCAATATATTGGGGAAGAATATTAATGCAGAAAAGTTTCAAAATTCCTTAGATAAAGTGATAAGTCAACAACATTTGGAAAATGTCATTAAAGAAGCAGCAACAATGAAAATTTGTAGAGGTTTAGACTTCTTAAATGACAAAAAGTAATTAATATTATAAATTAATCATCAAATGCATTACTTAATATATTTTATGATGTAGGAGCAGTTCATCTTTTGCTACAAATAATGATAATATTATAGTTGATACTTTGTTACACAAAAGAAATTCCAATTGTTCCATAATAATTCCACATGGATATCATTGTTTTCCTTGTGCAAGAACTAGAAAGATGCTGAAGCAATGTTCAGCTCGATTAGTTGCACAATCTTCACCAAAACGAGTTACATTAAAAATGACACCTAAAAGTAAAAAAAATTCATTATTACAAAAAAGAAATGAACTCTTAAGAAAACAAAAAAAAATTGCATTAATAAAATAAAACTATTGAAACAAAGTATTTCCGAATTATTAACTAAATTTGAAAATGTGTCAAAAGAAAGTATTACACAGAAACTTACTGAAATGAACTGTAGTGGATACCAGAAGACAATCATTGAAGAAATAGTTTCAGCCGCAAAGGTAATATGTTAACATGTAATCCTATTCAACATACAAATAATAACTATTGTTTTTTCTATAAATAAAAAAAATAGATCAGCAATCCAAAAGGTCGGCGGTATTCTGACGAGTGGATAATGCTTTGTATGTTGTTGCATATCAGGACTCCAAGTGGCTATAATTTTTGTAAAAAAAATAACATACTGCCACTTCCCAGTGTTAGCTCTCTAAGACGGTATCTAGCCATTATAGATACAGCTTGTGGTTTTGATAAAAACTTTTTTGCATTATTTAAAAAACACCTGGAACGCAAAACTACAATGCAAAAACACGGAATTATTTTAGTGGATGAAATTTCAGTTCGAGAAGCACTTACAGTTTGTTCAAAAACTCTGACATATAAGGGTCTTGTTGATTATGGTGAAGAGTACAAGGCAACTGATATCAACGAAAAAGCCACAAGTGGACTTGTTTTTATGTTCCAGCCGCTTGCTGATACATATTGTCAACCAGTGGCTGTTTTTGCCGCAAAAGAATCAGTAGTTGGCACTGAATTGGCAAAACTTGTAATAAAATGTATCATCCTTTTAGAACAAGCAGGTGCAATCGTCCACGGTATTGTGTCTGATGGTGCTCAGACTAACAGGAAAATGTGGTCGGAGCTAGGAGTTAGTGGAGAAATAAATTCTTTAAAAAATTGGTTTCCTCATCCACTTGTTGATGATAGGAAAATATATGTATTCTCTGATACACCTCATCTATTCAAAAATGTGAGAAACAAATTATACAATGACAAAGTATTAAAAGTAAGTTCAATATATGTTGAGGTCTAGTATTTGTTTTTTTTTTTTTTTAATGTGTGTGTATTATAATTAACTATCTATGAGGTAATAGTAATTCTTTTGGAGCATTTTGCATGATTACAATAGGAAATGATGAAATATGTCATAAATATCTTTAAGATTTAGCAACCCAATATCCTTAATTTCCAG